CGCTCTAACAGCACTGGGGATGGAAAGGCCAAGTGGGGTGGTGATCAAGACAAAGCTCTCATAAGCTAATAGTTTAATGAGGAAGAAAGATACTAAACAAGAAATTAAAGTGAATTTTACTTTTATGATCAGAGAATTAGTGTCTTGAGGGACATTAAATGGAGAAACCAAACCTAGAGGAATGCAAGGGAAGCATGACCAGATGTTTTCTCAATCATTGAAAACAGTGGTTCCCTACCAGCTGTACACAGGCAGTAGTAGTTTGAGATCTAGGTTTTTCATAGCAATTACTAAAAATCCACAATAAAATCACTACTGTATCTTTCTATGACTTGAATTTATTTATTTATTTTTTTTTTAAGAACTTTCTTTTTTTGTGTGTGAGGAAGATCAGCCCTGAGCTAACATCCATGCTGATCCTTCTCTTTTTGCTGAGGAAGACTGGCCCTGAGCTAACATTTACTGCCAATCCTCCAGCTTTTTTTTTCCCCTTTTTCTCCCCAAAGCCCCAGTAGATAGTTGTATGTCATAGTTGCACATCCTTTTAGTTGCTGTATGTGGGACACCACCTCAGCATGGCCGGAGAAGCGGTGCGTTGGTTCGCGCCCGGATCCGAACAAGGGCCACCAGTAGCGGAGTGCGAGCACTTAACCACTAAGCCAGGGGCCGGCCCCTGACTTGAATTTAAATAACAAATATAATAATGAAATTCTGGAATTTCATGCACTTACATATTTGAGTGTGAATGAATTTGAGTGTGACACTGAATGAATGTGAAATTGTCAGAGGCAGGTAACAGAGAAAAGACAGGGAGACAGTAGACAAACTTGAGGGCTCACAGAAAGCTTATTAGAATTTTTTGGATTAAAGAGAAGCATGTTAATCAAATTATAGGCTCTTTCAATCATTCATTCAAAAAACACTAAGAATACTATATTCCAGAGGCTTGCCTGTGTTCTCTGGCTCTCCGCCCGCGAAGGGCCTTTCATCCACTGATGCAAGCGCCAAAAAGCAGCCTCAGCCAAGCTGCAAGCCAGCCCCAAGGCCGTCTGCCAAACGGCAAAAAATTAAAGAAAGCCAGAAGACGGATGTGCTGTGTTCAGACGAAGAAGAGGATTGCCAGGCTGCCTCTCTGCTGCAAAAATTCACCGACGACAGCGAGAAACCATGCTGGAAGAGACAGTGCAAAACCAAGCATGGATCCCTCGGAGCCCGGGGGGGGGGGGGGGCTCGTGGCTGACAGGGGACTACTACGCGGAGATGGCAAGGTGACCATCCGGAGATTCAGAAAGCGGCCCGAGCCCAGGTCCGACTAGGATCTGTCACCAGCCAAGCAGGACGAGAAGCCCTTCGACCGTTTGCAACAGTTGCTACCGGCTTCCCACGCTCAAGCTCCGCTCCAGGGCCCATCCAGGGGCGCCCGATGCCGCCCAAGCACGGAGACTTGCTGTCCACAGGCCCCCGGGCCGCCAGGCGGGGCCGTGCGGGCGCCGTCTCGTGGCGCCGGAACCGCCGAGACGCGGCGGCTCACCCAGCTTGCCTGAGGCCTGTGCTGGAGGGCGGCTCGGCGTCGCAGGACGTCTCCCGGAAGGCGGCGCCCAGGTGGCCGGCAGTGCCCGGGGCGGACCCAGGCCTCTCCAGATGCCGCGGAGCATGCTCGCTTGGAAACTGTCCGCTGGCCCCTCTCCTGTGGTGCTGACCCCACCTGGGCTACGTACTCACGTAGAACCATCACGAAAATGACCCCACGGCGAACTCACAGGCAAGTTTTTAACGGATTACTTAACGGCCTACAGGGGCGCGGTGACGATGAGCCAGTGGCTCCCGGGAGTCGTATGGCAGCTCTGTGCGGGAACCGTCTGATGAAAGTGGATGGAGGTTTTAAAACCCCCGGGGCGGAGGACCAGGATGATAACGAGGAGCCCTACAGCGTTTGAATTTGAATTTTCAAAAGGCGCCCTCCTACCACGTTCTAACGTCCAAGTGTCCGTTGCTCAGGGGCCTCGAAACTGGCGGTTGCTTTCGGACGTGCTTTAGAAACTGAAACGTCCTCCCGCATGTTCCAGGGCAACTTCCCCAGTGCGGAAATCGTCCCCATCAGAGGCGGAGTTGTACCGGCAAGTTGCAGCAAGTCTCTTGTTGGCCTGCTCCAAAGACCTGGAAGCCTTTAATCCTGAGAGCAGTGAGCTCGCAGCGGCGTCGAGTTCACTAGCGAGCTGCAGGCTCCGCTGGGATCGTCGTGGAACCGCTACCGCCAACGACACGGTCCCAGCGGACGACTGGCGAGCTCGCCAGGCCCGCCGTGTGCAGTGTGTCCGAGCGTTAATCCCTGGGCATACGTGTCATAATACGACTATTTCTGTAAAGAAAGGACGCTACTACATATCAAAATCTCTCTTCTTTATATAAGAGAAATGATTCCAATCGGAAGGATTTGGAAACGTTTTTTTCTTTCAAGTCAGTTTTTATTAAGTTGTAATGTTTCTTTTCAATGCACACATGCTTTGGGATTTTTTTTTTTTTTTTTTTTGGTGAGGGAGATCAGCTCTGAGCTAACATCTATTGCCAATCCTCCTTTTTTTTCCCCTTTTTCTCCCCAAAGCCCCAGTAGATAGTTATACCTCATAGTTGCACATCCTTCTAATTGCTGTATGTGGGACACCGCCTCAGCATGGCCGGACCTGCCGTGCGTTGGTGCGCGCCCAGGATCCAAACCCAGCTGCCAGTATCGGAGCTCACACACACAACCGCTAAGCCACGGGCCAGCCCGGGATATGTTGGTTTTTACTTGGAAATTTGTTTGTTTCTTTCTTTCTTTTTTGTTTTTTTTGTGAGGAAGATCAGCCCTGAGCTAACATCCATGCC